ATTGCCATAAATTCAGGGTTTTTAAGACTATACTGATTCCCAGGGCCCTGCACTAGAGATTCTGATTTAATTGGTTTGAGGCAAGGCCCAAGGCATTTAGGGGCATCGGGTATTTTAGAAGCTTCCCAAGTGACTCAAATGTGCAGCCAGGGATGAGATCCATTAGGTTAATCAATTGTTCCTGGGAACACCCCAGAGCCTGGGGGTTCCAAGCCACAGCCCCAGGACACAGCTACCCCTCCCCCTTCTTGGTCTACCAGGAGGAAGAAGAGGCAGGCCAAGACTCTAGCTGGCACAGAATAACACAAGAGTGTGAGCCTCATTCACTCACCATTGAATCACATATTCAGTAACTATTTAATACAAGTGTTATGGAAGAAATGATGGAAACTAACAGAGGGACCCAGTTATTGGGCAGTCAGGCTTTTCTGAGGAGGTGACATATTAATCAAGGCCTGAGTGACAAAGAGAAGCCTGCAGTGTGAAGCTGCCATGACAAGCAGAGAGGGCAACAGCCCTGGGGGGGAGCGAGGGGCACGCGGCTGGAGCAGAACCAGGCCGGGGCGCGTGTGGAGGGTCCTGGAAGTGTGGAGGGGAGGGGTTTTCCTTCTCAGTCCACAGGAGCCCCTGGGAGGTTTTCAGGAGGGAACGACACGACCTGGCTAGTGTTTTGAAGAGCCACTCTGGCTGTGATGGGAGGGTGGCCTGTAGGGAGCAGGACGGACGCGGGCCAACAGTCCAGCCCAGCAGGACGACAGGCACCCCTGTGCTCACACTCCAGGGAGAGAATGGGCGCTCGGCTCCCCCGCAGTGGGGAATGTAGGTCAGGCTCACTCAGCCAAGCGGCCAGTGCGGCCCCCTTGCCTGGCAGAGAAAAAAGCCATCTCTGAGATGTGTGGGCTCCACGAGAGGTCAGTGTTGGCAGGGAAGGCAGAGACAATAGTGTTCCAGGTGCCAGAATGTGGGCCACCACCTGGGGTCTCTGTGTCCCCCTTCCTGGGGTGCGTCTCCCCCTGGCAGGCCAGCCCGGGGACAGGCCTGTGTGTGTGTGGAGCAGGCGGCTGTATTTTAAGATCAGGGCTCAGACCTCTAAATAAACTATAAACACAGTCAGCTTCCCCAGCACAGAAGGAGAGAGAGACGGCTCCATTCCTCTTCAGCGCAGTGACTGGGAAATAAACAAGTGCCTCTGCCTGTCACATACACTTAACCCTCTGCAAAGGCATCTGTCAGACCCATAGAGCTTCTGCTTCAGCCCTTCCGAGAAATAACTGATGAGCTCCAAACTAGGGCTTCTCCTTGTAGCCTCCAAGTTCACCATCCTGTTCAAGGAAAGATGGGGATGGGAGCTTGTTCTTGACCCCAGGGAAAGCAGATGGCAGGTAAGCACGCCGGGCCCCTAAGTGGCTGGAGGCATGTTGGCACAGCTCTGTCAGGTATGGAAGGGGATGAGGGAGAGGGAAGGGAGGGTGACTGGGAAGGAGGGAGGGAGAGGGGCGCTGGCCGGAGGAGGGGGCACAGCTGAGAGGAGCAGGAGAGGAGAGGTAGAAGGGCAAGAGCCCCAGGGGCCTGACGTCTGCAGAGGGGATGGCTGTGAGTGTGAGAAAGCAGAGAAACAGAAGGCAGAGAGGGCTAGCCCTCCATGGGGGAAATCTCCCACAACCACAAAGGAAGAAGGAATGAGAACGAACAAAACCAGGCAGGAACAGAAGGAAGCAGGCAGATAAAGGAAGCAGGGGAAGGGAGACAACCCCAGAGTCATCCAACCCAAGATTTTTGGGGGTAGGGACTTTCTAAATATGGCAGAAAAGGTGATTTATCTGGAAAAGAGTCAGGAGCGAGGCCAAGGAATGGGAGTGGCTGCAAATGGTGGCTGAGCAGCAGGAACCACGCGGACACATGGTGGTGGAGCAGAAGGGAGCTGCGGGCTTTGGGTGGCCAGAAGCCAGGCAGTGAGAGGGTGGGCGAAGGCTCGAGTGAGGCCCGGGGCCCACGGTGCCCACCCCACAGGTGCTACGGCTAAAGGCACTTGCAGCGGGGAGGTCTCACCGCCAGCACCACCCCTGAGGTGTGGCAGGGGGCTTGCAAAAGAGGGGGAGAGGCAGCAACAGCGGCTACACACGCAGTCACACCCCCCATCATCATCATCGTTAATAAAGGCTGGCACACACACTCAGCAGCACTCCCGTGGGGATAAAAGAGACCCAGGGGCCTCCAGACCCCAGGAAAGGCAAACAAAAGGCAGGTACAGACACTTGGCCCAGCCGGGTGTGGAGAAAGCCAGACTTGAAACAATAGATTCAGCAGAGCTAGGTAGGGGATTAGATGAGCATATTCCAAACACAGATTTTGAAAGAAATTGAGATAGGAGACAAAGACAACAAATCTCTCTCTCTCTCTCTCTCTCTCTCTCTCTCTCTCTCTCTCTCTCTCTCATGCACACACACACACACACACACACACACACCACTCTCTGAAAGAACCAGACACAAAAGGAAGGAAAAGATGTACGGCCTTCACCACCCTATTGTCCCCTCCCACATGTGCCTACGTCCCCTGGAATCCCCAGCACTCGCAGAGGCCTGCAGGAATGTGGGCGTGAAGCCTTCTCAGCAGGCAACACACGTGGACACAGTCCCACACACATACCCAGAGAGGCAGGTGGCTGGCACAGGGACAGGTCTCCTCTAAGTGAAGCCAGACTTGTATCCAAGAAGCCCCACATGAAGCCCAATCAGGGGCCCCCCCCTCCACAGGCCCGCCAAAGAATGCACAGCACTTGAGCTCCACAGAATATCTTTGGATATTGCCATTGCCAGGGCCACATGAAAAAGGATGTGCTTTCCATTGCGGCTCTGGCGGCAGCTGCTCTGTGAGTCCAGAGCCACACCATAAGCACTTTCCCAGGACTTCTGATGAAGACCTGTGGCCCACCAGCTCCCTGCTAAGCTCAAATGGTGCTCTAGTCTTTGTAAATAAGGACCATCCGAAAGGACGGAGAAACCAAGGAGAGGAAGCTTCCCAGAAGCTATGGGTCCATTTCTGAGCTTGATCCCATCTTAAGGAACTAGCTGGAGAGGAGAAGAGCTCAGACAGCGGCCACAATCTCTTGGGCAATGAGGACGCAGGTACTGAGGACATCTACACTGGACTCACACAACATGTCAGTGTGCACAACCTGCCATTGTCCCACTGAATACTTCTATATACAGCTTACTGTACACACAGCTCACAGTCCCCGATGTGTACATACACTGCACACATCTCCCCATTCCTCAGAGGGCCCAGTTTTACCAACGCTTCACGTACAGACACTGAAAAGTCCCGCTGTCCTCAGATCTCTCACACGCAGGCACACACACAGCTCCCTGCACTCCTAGAAAGCCCACACACCACACCAGCCTGTGCACATACGGCGCCCACACAGAACTCCCAAACAGAACTCCGTGACTCCCTCCCACGCAGGAGGGGCCTGCGCTTTCCTCCCTGGTACGCTCAGCTGAGCTCGACCTCAGGCTTCCCTGCCCCTCTTTCTGCCCTCCCGCTGCCTTTCCCCAACACCCCTCTGTCCCTCAGCTTCAGGAAACTTTTCATCAGGTCCCTAAAGGGGAAAAGCCAGAGTTCCTCCAGCCCTGCCCTTTCCTCCGACTCAGCAAGCCGCCCCTCATTTTCCAGCCGGGCTCTCGCCTGAGACCCAGTGGGGAAAGGTCACCACAGGCAGTCCCCTGCCTGCGCCGGGGGAGGAGGGAGGGTGGCAATAACAGCTGTCACCAGGAGATGAGTGAGGGCATAAGGAAGGTGTCGGCCCTGAGAGGAGCTGGGGGCGCAAAGGGGTGGCCGTGACGCGCCAGAAGAGAGCGGAGAAGCTGCGGCCGGCGACATCTTCGGAGTGTGGGGCGGCGGCCGCGCCTGGGACCGGGCGCGCGGAGCTGTCCGTTCAGCACCACTGCGAGGGGCGCGGGCTCTGCTCCCGCTCCGGCTCCTGCTGACGCCTGCGGCGCGGGCTCCTGTCTCTCTCGGGGGCTGAGGGGCGCGCAGATCGAGAGAGGTGGCCCCGCGAGTGTCGGGGCCAGCAGCCACCTGTGAGCCTCCTGCAACTGCGGGCGGCGGCGGCATCTCCGGCCGGAGACAGGAGGAGACGCTCGGCGGACCCCGCCCGCCGGCCCGCCGGGCGCTTACACAGGCGCACACACACTCGTATCCGCGCGCACACGCACAGCCAGCCCGCAGCGGCGGCCGCAGCGATGCTCGTCAGCAGGTCGGGGAAGTTTCCCGCCCGCCCCGGCCACGGGCCCCAGTGCTCTCAGGTAAGCGCTTCCAGAACGCTCAGGGCGAGCCCTAGCAGCTCTGCTGGGTAAGGCGCGGCGCACGCGGCTCCGGGGCACCGCGCCTGGTGAGCAGGAAGGCCCCGGGCGGGGGGCGAGGGGTCTCCAGTCGCGGGGGCCGGACACTGGGGATGCCAGCCCGGCCGCTTTACCCCAGCCCGCGTTTACAGACTCGTGCGGTGAATTTCCCCGCCTCCCTCCCGAAGCTACGCGCCCGCATCTCGGCCCAGCCCTGCCCGTGCGCATCCCAGCTCCGGTCCCGCCTGTCTGCGGCGAGCGGGCGGGGGCGTCTCCTCCGCCCGCCCACGGGCAAGGTCAGCTCGCAGCCCCCATCTCTCGCAGAGCTGCGGGGGCGCGACTGCCGCAAGCATAAAGCGACAGACAGGACCCCCTGGATGGGGGTCGAGGCACAGCCATGCTAGTAGAAACCTACCCCCCCCCCCCCCGCCCCAAGCCTTTCCTTGGGAGGGGGCCAAACCCCACAGAACCATTCCTCTCATCTCAGTGCCCTTCAGCACCCAGAGACCGGCTCGGAGAGGACTGGGCCCGCCAGAGATGGGTCGGGATAAAGAGAGGGGCGCCCGGACCTTGAACACCTCGCGCTCACCGTGTGCGGTTCCCTCCGCTTCCAGGTGTAGCGCCCCCGAGCGGCACGGGCGGCTGGGCGTGTCCAGCATGACCCGCCGGAGCCTGTGGGACGTGTCGGAGGCCAACGTCGAGGATGGAGATATCCGCATCAACGTAGGAGGCTTCAAGAGGCGGCTGCGCTCTCACACGCTGCTGCGCTTCCCCGAGACTCGCCTGGGCCGCCTGCTCCTCTGCCACTCGCGCGAGGCCATTCTGGAGCTCTGCGATGACTACGACGACGTCCAGCGTGAGTTCTACTTTGACCGCAACCCCGAGCTCTTCCCCTACGTGCTGCATTTCTACCACACAGGCAAGCTCCACGTCATGGCAGAGCTGTGCGTCTTCTCCTTCAGCCAGGAGATTGAGTACTGGGGCATCAACGAGTTCTTCATTGACTCGTGCTGTAGCTACAGCTACCACGGCCGCAAAGTGGAGCCAGAGCAGGAGAAGTGGGACGAGCAGAGCGACCAAGAGAGCACGACGTCCTCCTTTGACGAAATCCTGGCCTTCTACAACGACGCCTCCAAGTTCGATGGGCAGCCTCTGGGCAACTTCCGCAGGCAGCTGTGGCTGGCGCTGGACAACCCCGGCTACTCGGTTCTGAGCCGGGTCTTCAGCGTCCTGTCCATCCTGGTGGTGCTGGGGTCCATCATCACCATGTGCCTCAACAGCCTGCCGGACTTCCAAGTCCCCGACAGCCGGGGCAACCCTGGCGAGGACCCCAGGTTCGAAATTGTGGAGCACTTTGGCATCGCCTGGTTCACATTTGAGCTGGTGGCCAGATTTGCTGTGGCCCCTGACTTCCTCAAGTTTTTCAAGAATGCCCTAAACCTTATCGACCTCATGTCCATCGTCCCTTTTTATATCACTCTGGTGGTGAACCTGGTGGTGGAGAGCACACCTACCTTGGCCAACCTGGGCAGGGTGGCCCAGGTCCTTAGGTTGATGCGGATTTTCCGCATCTTAAAGCTGGCCAGACACTCCACTGGCCTCCGCTCCCTGGGGGCCACCCTAAAATACAGCTACAAAGAAGTAGGGCTGCTTTTGCTCTACCTGTCTGTCGGGATTTCCATCTTCTCGGTGGTGGCCTACACCATTGAAAAGGAGGAGAACGAGGGCCTGGCCACCATCCCCGCTTGCTGGTGGTGGGCCACGGTCAGTATGACCACTGTGGGGTATGGGGACGTGGTCCCAGGAACCACAGCAGGGAAGCTGACCGCCTCGGCCTGCATCCTGGCAGGCATCCTAGTGGTGGTGCTGCCCATCACCTTGATCTTCAATAAGTTCTCCCACTTCTATCGGCGCCAAAAGCAACTTGAGAGTGCTATGCGCAGTTGTGACTTTGGAGATGGAATGAAGGAGGTCCCTTCAGTCAATTTAAGGGACTATTATGCCCATAAAGTTAAATCCCTCATGGCAAGCCTGACAAACATGAGCAGGAGTTCACCAAGCGAATTAAGTTTAAATGATTCCCTACAGTAGCAGGAAGGACTTGTCGTCCTCAAACACACATTGCTGAGCTGCCTCTAGTGCCTCTGGCACAGGCCGGGCACCTTAAGGTTATGGCATGAGGAGGATGGCCAGGCCCAAAGGGGAGAGATGCGTGGGACACACAGCCCAGGTTGCTCTGACAGTATTTAGAATCATTTCTAGAGGGTGGTGCGTCTGACACTATGTCTTTGCGCCTTTCAATGAAATGACACTCACTGGTGTTCGCATCATGGGCATAAAGTGTCCACGTTTCTGCTGGATGAGGGCTGCCGAGAATGCTAATTTTTTTTGTTCACCATGTACTCTACTCTAGTGCTTGTGGCCCAGTTACTGTCCGTGAGTTTTTTTGTGCTTCTTTTTCTGAGGTTGTCGTGTGAGTTCTGTACAAGAAGCCCCTACGTGTCTGTCCAGTGGAAACACATCTATGGGGTCAGCAAGGATAGGATGGGATTTTGCTCCTGTCGAGTGAAAATAGAAATCTCAGTTTTTTATTCATTGCTTTCATCTAGTTGTAATACCAAAACAAAGAGAATGTGAAGTTAAGCACATGACCAATGCAAGTCTGTGAGTTGTTTTATAAATGATCTGTAGCTCTGTGACTTGCATGGGTACACTGGTCACCTTTAGAACAATGTGTGCTGATGTTCATTTTGTAAATGTTGCTCTTTAGAGAATGTTACTCAGTTAAACATGTAGTGAGGATAGAAATATATTTCCTAGAACAGATGCTTTAGGGAGAAGGGCTTCAGCTAAGCACAGGTCACGTTGTAGGGTGCTTAAAGAGGTCTCAAAGTCAGGCCCCTGTCTTTCCTACGGTGACTGTGGAGACATTCCTTTCTGGCTGAGGTTCCTGGTCTAGGTTGTTTGGCCAAGGTTTGCTGTGTCTTAGATATTAGCATGTTTTTGAAATATTTATTTTTTAAAGTGTTTAGAAATAAGGTCGTGTTGTCTTTCTCAACTGAAACAAGGTTTACCGTTGTGTTGTTTTCCTGAGGCAAACATTGTTGGGTTGCTAGCAAAGGGCAGTAGCTTAGAAACTGTGTTGCCTGCTCTGCAAGCTTATAAAATGAGAGCTCTTTTATTTCCAAGCAGAATTTACGTAGATAGTTTTGCTTCTAGGATATAGTATATTATATACAATGCTGTAATTGCCCGGGAGTTCCTGGTATGACATGGAGGTGTGGAAGTGTGTACTCAAAAATACAGAAATGCATGAAGGCTGCACTGCTTACCCAGGATGGAAATACTACAGTTATTTTTCTTTTTATGTATATAGTTCTTACTTCTGTTTCCACTGCCTTTTGTTGGGGGAGGGTGGGCAGAGGACAGAGAAAAAGGAAAGAGCTATGAAACAAAACATAGCTACTGTCATAAATAATTGGAAACTTCTTGAAAAGCTTAATGCTGTAACTCTGTCCTTCTCCAAAATGCCTTCCCTCTTCTTCCTCAGTTAACTAGCACATAACATTGTAAGGGGGAATCTGAGCCCCTTTGTAAGATGGTTCTCCATTATCTTCTAGGTAACCAGGTGGTTTTACGGTTGGCTTCCATTATGGTTTGGTCTTTGGAAAAGGCTGCAGAATTCCAGGGGCTAAGCATGGAGGTAGGCAGGTTTTTATCCATGGCTTGGGCCTTCCCTAAACAGGTCCATTTTGAGTTTTAGTCAAAAGTAATACATCCCTCATGGGAGTGTGGTGACAATCTTGTCAAAAGGTTTTGTGTACTTGTAGTTGCCATGGCTACTACAGAGCAGGCGATTTGTTGAATGAGTGCACTGGTTGCGTATGCTCTTGAGTCTTCAGTTCAAATCCTTCCATCAGACGCCAGCCCCAAGTGGGGTGGGGAGGTAACCATGTCCTAGTGCCTGATGGTTTACCATCTACATCTGTTTCTCAGAAGCATTAGGAAAAGGTGAGATGACTTAGGGGCAATGGGCCAGTAAGTTAGAAGAGCTGGGTTATTTTTTCAGAATTTGCACATGGAGCGCTTGGCTTAGGCTGATGTTGCCTGCCCTGGAAGCCAGAGAATTTACAAAGTGAGCACTAGCTGCACTGAAGGCAGGTGATGGTACAAACCTGTGAGAACCGTTCAGGTTGCCAAAGTTGATGGTATCGGGTCAACGAGCAGGGTATCATGGTCACGGACCATAGAGCATGTGGAAAGTGAAGACAAAGAAGAAGGCAGAATAACTCAGTCACTCTCATGAGTATTTTTTTTAAACAGGTATGTTTTACCACAAAAAAAAAAAAAAAAAAAGAAGAGAGAGAGAGAGAGAGATACCCCTAGTGGTTACTCTTCGCAGATGTGAAAGCTGGAATACTTGACTTTTCATTTTGGTAATGACTTGCATTTATCTGGTGCCTTTCATTAGGGGAATCCCAAAGTGCTTTAGAGACTGTCTTTTTAACATCTCTTGTACATGTATATACTTGTATAAAGTGTTACTTTGCCCACCCTGGAACTTCCGTCACTTCTGGGGATGAGAATGTCCTAATAGCCTCAGTTTTCCAAGTGATGGTTTCAGATAAGAGGGAGAGAGAGCGACCCAGCTGGCTTGAACACAAGTTAATTCTCACAAAGGATGGAGACTGAAATGTGACCCAGGAATAAATAACCTTCCTCTCCCCTAAAGTACCACCAAGGTGTGAACTTCACAAGTGCTCACAAACAGGCTTTGATGACTCTTGCTAGTACCAACTTACGTAGCAGTTTCTTCTGGCCCCTAGAGCTAATCAGGGAGGGTCAGGTTAATTTTCTGCTGTTTCTGAGTTAAGAACGTATGTACAAAATGATGTCATTGGCCACCAGGCTGTAAGACTGGCCCATGAACCTCCTTTAGGGGCCACAGGAGAAGCTCCAGATCACTTACTGCCAGCTGCTGGCTTGACAGCCGCTTCACTTCCGGAACATTTGGAGGTTGTTCTTTTCAATGCCATTAGGGTGAACATATATGCCAGGCTCTTCTCCCAATATACGTGACGAGCATTTGAAAGTGCTGCTTGGGAAGTGGTTCTATGTCTTTATTACATAGGTGCACATTCGTGACAGGTTTGTGTTTCCTGCCAAACCCCTACATTTCCCGGGTTTGCTGCTGAGGAGCGGCATGTTGTAATGCCAGGCTGATTTGTAGCTCCTAAGGTAGTAATTGGTGTTTAATATTTGGGTTTGTTATTTCTACTTATCTTAGTCCTCAAATAATTGAACTACCTGCTAATTCTTGCCTCATTTCAAAGAAAATGATTTGTTATGCATTTTGGGACAGCAGTGATCTGTACAGCTGTGTGTTATCTACTTGAAGGCTTAACTGGTGTTTCTTGTATGTTTTAACAGCATGACTTGTTACAGAGTTGTAATTTAAAAATTGAGAACGCTGTATTTGCCATGTCAGTTTTAACACTCATTAACATACTACCGCGCACGCATTGGCGCGGCCCACTGCACTGTCATGTCTGATGACTGCACTTCAGTCTCCGTGCTCCGTGCCTCCACACGGGAACGAGGAGTAGCACTCACACACTCAGGACTCCGCCCCGAAGAGTATGCAGATTAAATAGAAAATAGATTATTTACATTTCCGCCAGGCACTTCAATTACATGTGGAGTGGCAAACACAGGGCGCGTTCAACGCTGGGGACTGCTTTCCTGAGGGAGGCTGGGCTCTGTGAGCATTTGTTGGGAAGGAGGAGCTCTTCTTTATTCTTTGCAGCCACAGAGAGCTGGGCTCCCATTTTGACCTGGACCTAGAGCCCCCAACCCGCTTTGTAGAAGGAATGGTCATTTATTCCTGGAGCCTGCGGGAAATAGACACTCCCTGAGGGACTTTCCTTTCCACACTGTCTTGCCCAGCACCAGGGATGGGCTTGCCAGTGACAGCCCCACCCCACCTGGGTGTCATTCCTCCTGTTGCTATAGCACCTTCCTGACAGTGATTTGGGGACCTGAGTGTCCTGGCTGGTTTGGTGGAGATATTGAGAGACACACAGAACCAGCCCTCAGCACCTACTTAACCTGGTAGTGTCTTGGACTCTGAGCCATCCCAAAGGCCACAGTGAATCTAACAGAGCATTGCTCCCAGTTTTGCCTTCAATTCTATGAGCTTGGCCTCTCTGAGCCTTATATCTCATTCTTGCAAAATGAGAAGGTTGGATTAGCTCATCCTTAAAGTCCAGCCCAGTTCACATCTCAATGTAAAGACAGAACCTCTGCACACCCCACTACATCCTCATCATGGCAGGGAGCAGATCCCGAATCTGAAATTTATCTTTAAGCAGAGCAGAGAGATGGCTTACAAACAACCTTCTGTTTGCTTTCATTTCTCCGTCAATGGCCAACCACAATAGACAACAGTTTCAGGGACAATGACGCCAGAGGAAGGCTTGGGCTGGTGTCCGTGCCAGGTGGAATAGAGTTTTAAAATAATCAACGAGTGTCTCCTTTGGGCTTTAAGCCATTTATACCTACTCCAAGTTCCTGTTATTAAAAGTCATTAGAGAGGAAGATCACATGATCCCATTTGGCTTCAGGACAAACTCTGTGCCCATTTATGTTTGTTCCCATAGTGAGGACTGGTGAGTCCCCCATCCCTGATCCCATGAGGTTATTGGGCCCCACTCAGGGCCCCTGAGTGCACAAGGTCAGGCGGATCTCTTCCCATTGGGAAATCCATTGTCACTGAGGAGTAGTGACATCTTCAGAAGGGCATGGCAACTTGTGTTAACCTTGTCCCCAGTCTCATGGCAGCTAAGAAAGGGCAGCATGGGACTTCTGTGTAGCCCTAGAAGGCACACAAGGTGACCACAGTCCTCTCATTGCCACCAAGTGGGGTGGAGCGCATCTTCTCCCTCCAGCGGGGTACAACTGGAGGTTCAGGGATATTTCTGAGCCAGGATGCCTAGCATCTTAAAAGCAAAAAGAAATACCTCCCCTTGAGGGAAAAACTTAAATACTGCACTCACATGGTTATTATCTCCTATCATTTTTAGGAGGTCTTT